AGAATTGAGCCAGAGCGAGAGCGCCATCTGTCGTGGAGTTTGGTGTGGACCATGCTGTTGACCACTACACCATCTGGTGGTGAAATCTGACAACGTCAGACAGCTTTGAAAAGCCTCCTGTTAGGACGCGAAACGTTAGCAGGTGTGTTTAAACCTCACGGTTGAGTAGAAATCAACCAAGTTATCTCAGTGAAATTGTAAGTCTGGAGTTAAATCACTGAACATAGCAAGTAAACGTGTTCTTATGTCTAGTGCATCCACTTGAAGTTAACGAGACATTGTCAGCAATGTAGTCATAGTAACAAACCGTTGAACTAAAATTGTCATTTCAGTATTTCTATCGTCAATCAATAATACGTAAATCTGGTACATACATGTAGGTTCAATACAGACTCAGGATCCTCACAAGAAAATGTAGCATCTCTTCTTGATGTATCCAAGTACAGTGGACCCCCGAGATACGAATTTAATTTGTTCCACAGATTTGTTCGTATCTCGAAAAATTCGTATGTCAACCCCTATATAGGACATACAGCAATTTACGTACAGCAAATACAATCATGAGAGCGCATCCAGATTCAATGAGCCACATACTTAAACTGACTCACCGAAAGAGCGCGCGCTAGGCCTATGCCTTGATTGGCTGATTCGTAAGACGTTCGTATGTTGAATTTTATTCGTTTGTAGAATACATTACGTTCAACGGGAGGTCGTTCGTATCTCGAAAATTCGTGTCTCGAGCCGTTTGTATCTCGGGTGTCCACTGTAGTCTCAAGAGTCATTCCTCATTAATTCATGGTATGGAAGCTGGAGACCAGTGAATTCACCATATGCATTCTCGGCTTGTGTGTGTTTCTCATCGACCTTGCCGTGTGTTTTTGTGGCGATCTAGGTCTCACGTCCTACAGAAGGTGTGCCAGTATTTCACGTACAAGGTGCGGTACACTAACAGTTCCACGGAGATACCGGAGTTTCCGATAGCACCCGAGATCGTCCTGGAGCTGCTGATGGCTGCAAACTTCCTCGACTGTTGAGAGAGAGAGAGAGCGTGTAATCTCATTAGCCGACTACGACGCAAAACACGACACCAGCTAATGACATCAGCACCCTTAAATAATTATATTGTTCATAATTTGTAAATGTGAGAATTTGGATGGCATTGAGCAGGACATAATCGTTACTGACCGTGTTGCCTGTCTAGTTCCTGTTACTAGAAATGAATAGGGAAACTTCAGAGAATGAAAGAATGAGAACGGGGTGAATGAGAGCCAGACACAGAGAGAAAGAGAAGGATAGAGATAGACAGCCACATATAGAAACACAAAGGTATACAGCGAGTAACTGTGGCCATAAGCTATTTTCCAGTCATGGTTTTTTGAGAGCAATTAGTACCAGTTTATATTTAAAATGATAAAGTGGGTTCATCCACCATGTGGGAACTTACTGCAGAAAATTAAGTGTACCTTTTGTCCATCGTACATATATACTAGCGTGGAATGAAACTGTATCTGCACACTTTGTTTGTGATGTGCTATCACCTGCCTTCATGCCATCTAAGTAGCATGCTCTAATATGTCTCTGTAACAACATCTACTGTAATTTGGGTTTTGGAGGATTAATAATGTGATACACTCAGTGTGTTCTTGTATGCAGGTCACAGAGCCTTCGCATCTCGGTATCTAATAGTCTATCCTCTTACCATAAGACAGTCATTATGTTGTATTCCAAATTGACAGGCTATTGAACTAAGTCCTGTTTAGAGATGTATAATAAGCGCAGTGCAGCAAACTGTTAAAGGGGAATATGCCATCATATTGCAACAATGTTTACCGTCCTCTGGCTATCACATTGATGCAGTACTGCAGCAGTAATAGTAGTAGTATTACTGTACAATAATTCCCCCAGTTCGATATCTATTTGCTACACCACGTGTGCATTTTATATAGTAATACGTAATACGTAGCTTGATTCAGTACACGTAGAAGTTTTTACTCGGGTCCGATATACAGTTATGTGTAGCTGCCAGTGTACACTACAGTGAAAGAGAGAATGTGATGCACAAGAAAGGCGTACATCGCATTCTCTTTGTAAAATGCAATATACATTTCATTTTTGCATAAGATTTTGTTGCTTGAGCGAAGTTAAATGTTTGCAACTTGCGTTACCTTGACTGTCATTTTATACATGAAGGAGAAATGTGATTCGGCTGTGTGCATTCAGATGACTGCTCAGGTAACGATTTGTTGCTTTCGTGTTACTAAATAAATGTGATATATAAACACAGCATACCCAGACATTTCGTTTACTGCTCTCATTGGGAAATTATACAATTATATTAAAATCAGTGTTATTTTTATGTAAATCCAAGGATATTAACCAGTTGGGGACAGTTTTGTCAACCTAGTTAGTTGCCAGTTACATGCAGAATGATAGTGATTGATTGAATTGTTTTCTTTGCAAAGAGGCTATACCAGTTGTGAGGGCTGTCATTAACAATAACAGGTCACTGCCCCTGTACTCGAACGCATGCGCGCGTTCACCAACAAAGAGAGAGAGGAGGGGCGAGGGACAGAGCCTGAGGAGCCTGAGACACTACTTCGTTAGTGCACGCGTGCATGCGTTCGAATACGTGTCACCTGTGAATGACAGCTCTGACAACTGGTCTAGCTTCTTAGTAATGAAGTGAGAACAAGAAGAGAGCGCTAGGGAAAGAGAGCGCTGGAGAGACAGAGAGAGAAAGATCGAGAGAGGGGGAGAGACGAGACGAGACAACCACAACCTTGTACTGGTACGTACGTGCGTTTACTTGCTGCAATAGGTAGAATTACATTACACCTACAGACTTGTGGGCGGTAGGGAGGACTCCTCTTGACAGTGATTGTTAGCTTTTCCATGTCAGTTATTTCCCCCCTATCCGAAGTCCGAACGTGTCCTAAACTATTCGTTATTAGCATTTTCTTCATTGAAATGTATTACGCATACAGACTGCGTCTGTTGTAGAGATAGTAGGTCAAATTAAGAGATCTGAACAAAAAAGTAGAGAGATTATCTACGAGTTAGTATATTAGTTGGAGCAGTTAGCTGGCATAGAGGACCTGTGTCACGCAACACTTACGCCGCGTTCACACGGAGCAATTTGTCGACGCGGGTCGGTTTTGAGGAGAGCGTTCACACGACGTTGGATCGATCAGTCCGTTGTTGTCCAATTTCTTGAAATAACTGCACGTTGTTCGTGCCCTTCCCGATCTGTTGCTGTTATCTACCACCTTCTTATAAGTATTTCTTAACCGTTTGAGCCGATTATTAACTTGTTGTACAGTTTTAACTATCGCCCGCTCAGCCAGTTTTTCAACAATTTTCTGGTAGGCTAGACGATTTAGTCTGGTAGCTTATGCATTCCCGTGGGCATTTAATGATTAAAGCAAGAGACCTATGATAATATCTTTATAATATAGTATAGAACAAGAAAAATGAAGGTGGCAATCTGGGATATTGCGCAAACATTATTTTGCGATCGACGCGTTTCATAAAATCGCTGATAAAATAATGTTTGCGCAATATCCCAGATTGCCACCTTCATTTTTCTTGTTCTATACTATATCATAAAGATATTAAAATAGGTCTCTTGCTTTAATCATTAAATGCCAACGGGAGCTCAATTCATGACATAAGAGACCACACTAATTTCTCGAGGTTCCTGTTAAAATCCGATTTCCAAATCTCGAGAAGAGCGACGTTGTCCTCGTGAGACCACAGTCGATCAACCCCTTCTGTGGCCTTTTTGGGCATTTTGACGGATATTTTAATGAAAATACTGAAAAACGCGCGTGTAGAAACAAACGCGGAAGTAACGCGCAAGTCGACACTGATGACATCTACCACCGTACTAATTCTGTCCCGTGTCGTGTGTCGGTGCAAGTTCACACGGAAAACATTTGTAACACTTTTGTATCGAGAAAACGTCCATGTGAACGCTTGGCCCGGGACAATTTTAGCCCGGATCGTTTTAGACCCGGGACAAATTGCTACGTGTGAACGCGGCTATATTCGTGTTCGTTACGCAGTCGCGTAATTTTTATGCAGAAATTGGAAAATTGTAGCACTCTGCCGGTATGTCAGTCTGACAATCTGGGCATGATATAACATAATCAGGAGTGAATAATAATAGATCTATATATAATCTATAATATTCACTCCTGATATAATATATAGTATAATATAGTAATGGCGATGTTGCCATGTCAGCCTGACATGTATTCCGCTGTCACGCACAGTACACCTGATATTTTGCCATTTGATAATGTAAAACATAATGCTATATTATTAGATTTCCATCTCTGACTCGTACTTTTTCGCAACTTTAAGTTAGAGCGTATAGCCTGCATTTTTTTATACATGATGCAGGGCCGTAGGTTGAGCAAATTCCTAGGGGGAGGGCAAAATTTTATGACTCGACTGTGTAATGATGAGCGACGGGCGCAGCTCTTGATCGACGTCCATAGCGTGGTAGGGGTGGGTCTGAGACAAGGCTTTCACGGATAAGTGACCAAAAAATCACGGTAGGGTTATTTACGATTATTAGCTGAGCTTATTTGTTAATTTCGCTCTAAAATCTAGGGAGAAGCTGCCGCCCTCCCCCCCCCCAGACACACACAGGCTACGGCCCTGTGATGTACCAACCTACAAGATGTAGTTGCAGCAGCTCAAGATACCGCTGATGTTGTTCTTTACCGCCCATCTTCTAGATTTGTGTTAAATAGTTTTGCGCAGATGTGCACCTTCAATAAGCGAGTTCGTAGTTAGCCAAGGGGTTGTGTGAGATCACAGGTCACCGTGTCATTTGTGACAAAAATCGGTGAAATCTCGGGTGCGGCATGCGCTCTCGGTTCAGTACGTTCAGTACATGTATTCTGTGTACGTGCACATGCATGCACGTACACACGCACGCACGCACTTGTACGTACACACGCACGCACGCATGTGTAGGTGCACACGCACGCACACGCACGCACGTGTAGGTGCACACGCACGCACGCACATGTAGATGCACACGCACGCACGCACGTGTAGGTGCACACGCACGCACACACGTGTAGGTGCACACGCACGCACGCACGCACGCACGCACGTGTGTGTACGTGCACACGCAACGCACGCACGCACGCACGCACGTGTACGTGGACACGCACGCACGCACGCACGTGTACGTGGACACGCACGCACGCACGTACGTGTACACGTACGCACGTGTAGCCTACGTGGACATGTATGCACGCACGCACGCACGTGTGCGTGAACACGCGAAGACTGTAGCATTACAACGACACGGATGCATGCGTATGTGTAGGGTGCGATCGAAATACGAAATATTTTTCAAAAATGACCTAATCCGGAAGAATTCGTGGCAAAGTTCGCGCATGGGCAGACTAATTACGAACTCCAGTACCATTAGCGAACCAGTAATTACCAGTAGCGTAGAGCTCTAACTCATTTTGCCTGGAGGTGTGGTGCAACGCCACGTGCGTGGTGTGTTCCGGGATGGTGACCGCAATTGACCGAGTAATGTATATACATTCCTCTTCCCCCACCCAGCTAGCTACGGCCTTGAATACCCGGATCGTAGCAGAACGCCATATCTTTCCGATTCCTGCATGGAAATCACGCGGCTGCTTGACGAAAGGCAATAGGAGTTTCCTCAAACGCGCTCGTGGCAGATAACTGCTCTAAACGATATATACAGTCAACTCTTAAAGTTGCGAACACGCTCAAAACTAAATCTCACGTTAAACCGGACAATTTTTAAGTCCTAATGTAAGACATGTTAGATATGCCTGGAATAGGCCCCCTATAAACCGACCTTCACAGAAAACCGAACTAAATTGCCGGTCTCGAGGGTGGTCGGTATATTTGGAGAGTTGACCGTACTATATCTAGTAGGCTTAAATATCTCCCTTTTTGTTTAGATATCTCAACTCGTCCTATTATGTGCCCAAAAATCGCATGTTGCATTGAATATTCAGTTCTCTGAAGAAAATGACATTAATGGATATAGTCTTGGACATATTTAAACTTCGGATAATTGGGCAAATAACTGGTATAAAAGGCGGACAATCGGCTGTCAATAGGTGGTCGCGGTCCCCCGACCCCCTCTGACCCCTTTTATTGGCTACGGGCCTGTTATGCAGATATATATAAGCATTGAAAGGTAGTGTCATGAGACAATCAGTATAGGTGAACAATGAATGGGTCTCTGCTCTCGCCATGATAAACGCGCACTATGACACGCAACATGTAGATCAAGAAGACACTGACAGACATGATCTTCACTACACTCCATTCAATGAAACTGGAACTAAACAGCCTACTGTGGCATATGCCAGAAGTTACTGTCAGCGTCACAGAATAGTCTCGTAAATGTATTGGAAGGTATTCGTTATCACGTGATACAGTCGTGAATAGTCTCGTAAATGTATTGGAAGGTATTCGTTATCACGTGATACAGTCGTGAATAGTCCCGTAAACGTATTGGACGGTATTCGTTATCACGTGATAGGCCTACAGTCATGAATAGTCCCGTAAACGTATTGGAAGGTATTCGTTAGCACGTGATACAGTCATGAATAGTCCCGTAAACGTATTGGAAGGTATTCGTTATCACGTGATACAGTCATGAATAGTCCCGTAAACGTATTGGAAGGTATTCGTTATCACGTGATACAGTCATGAATAGTCCCGTAAACGTATTAGAAGGTATTCGTTAGCACGTGATACAGTCATGAATAGTCCCGTAAACGTATTGGAAGGTATTCGTTAGCACTTGATACGTACAGTCGTGAATAGTCCCGTAAACGTATTGGAAGGTATGCGTTAGCACGTGATACACTCATGTGATTATAATTTATTATTGACAAATAGTACTGTTAATGCACTAACGTGTCGTCAGTCTGTGGCATAGAGATCAGGGCCGTAGTGGCCCTCCCAAAGGTGCCACTGCAGAAATATGTAGCCGATGCGGTGGGGGGGTCTGGGGTACTCCCAGAAAAATGTAGAGCCTGGAAATGGCATTTCTGCATTCATTTTAAAGAATGAAAGAAATGGCAATTCTGATCATTTTAAAAGGTCAATTTGTAAATTTCAAAGAGGAATGTAGCTTAAAGCTGATGTTTTGACTAAAGTATCTAAAATATATATTATGAGTATGATAACTAATAAAACATTATTTACAAAATTGTATATACTATCAGTACATAATTATGAAAATAATCCTATTTTCATCTGCATTTATACTTTCACTATGTACATCTGTATGTTTTGAAGTTTTGAATTTGAATAGGCACATTGTCATATTAAATACACATTCCAAATCTTTAGAGCACTGATATAACACCTCTAATTGATCAGTATTAATAGTAATACCAGACAGTCCAGTCAGATAGCTTGTCATTTTATTTTTTATTATTCCAATTTGATCTTTTCTGCCTGGATGGCAACTTACAAATTCTGAAATTACATTTTGTTCATCTACCTTGTCTAACATGTCTGCGTGCAAATGCATGACCATTGCATTGTTGAGGCCCTAACTGGGTCGTGCTGGGTCGGGGGGGGGGGGCACTCCATATATATTGCATGGTAGGTATGTGCCGCGGGAGAGACCCCATTTTCAACCCTAACCCTAAACTTCCGTTTCAGTGCATCGCATTTTTAAGAAATATCTCGTTCCAGAGCATTAACTTTAGTTACCATGCAGATTTTACATTTTTGCCGTTCCGGAGACCCTAGTTTTTAATA